TATGAAGTTCAAAAATTGGTCAGGCTAAGCTCTGGTGAAAGAAGTCATAAAGGGGTTACCTTTGGCAGAGAGACTGATAAAGGACATGAGGAACTTTCTAGGAAGATGGAAATAGTCTAGTACTTGATTGGAATCATGCATGTAGTGCTGTTGTCATCAAACTGTGTACTTAGAACAGTTTTTATAGTAGGCAGTTATGCTTTGATTTTTCTAATATAGAAAATAGATACATGATATCTTTTCCTCAAGTATTACTTAATTTCCCCAGGGAAGGCTAAAGGACTGCATCCTCTACCTTAGTTGATTGATTCAGAGGATTTCAATCCTAATTACCCTAACTTTACTTCCTTCAAGGGAGAATATAAGATCTACAAATGGGGTCTGATTCTCTCTTCACATGGGATTGGCCCATCTTTCCTTAGTTTATCTCTGGCTAACAGATCCTGTCATGATAGTGTCAGGGCACAATTGCACCAAAGCTCCCTCTTTGTCCACTTAGAATTAATAGTAATACATGATGCTCTGATGGATGGAGGCCAAACCCCTGGCAAACAGGTGGTGACATGAAGTACACTGTCTGCTACTCATCTACAGTGAGTCAGCATGGTGCTGGCAGGTGAAAGGAGCTGAATCAGATATGGCAAAACTGAGAAAAGGACAGATGTGCAAAAAGGGACAAAGATAGAATGGTGACCAATAAATAGGCTTTCCATTTATTCTGCACAATATCACATTACAAATTTGAAGTTGGCATTTATTCTGTACTCACTGGAATGTGAAACTTGCATTACAAAAAGGGGAAAATCTTACCATTGTCTGATTTCTTGCCTTAGAATGCCCTTAGAGATGATGTATTTTCTTATCTTTTTTTTTTTGGTCCCTTCTGCTTTCTGATCTTTTTTTAAAAATGAGCAACCACTTTTATGACATGCTGTTAATTTATAGCATGATTGTTTACAGGTTACATATTTTAATTATGAAAATAATACATTGTAAAAAGGTGAATGTCATCGGTGCTAAAAGAAAGTCTATGTAATTATTTTAAATGGAATTATTTTGAAAAGTGGATCTGTTATGAGTCAACAGATCTTGTTCCCCTTAACTATTATAGCAAGCCTTTTCTTAAAAATCAGGGGATTTATAACACATATTGGATCCTGTCCTCTTGGAACACTCACTCAGCCACCAAGTTGAGAAAGTCCAAGCAGCCAGTTGGGCTTCATGGAACACAGCCAAGACCCCTGGCTAAGAGCCAGTGCCAACTTGCCAGCTCTATGCAGAAGGGCCTCTTGAAGTAATCCAATCTGCAAATCCTCAGTCAAGCCTCCCCAGCTGATTCCACAGGGAACTGGGACAAGCTGTCCCCATCATGCCCTGTCCAGATTGGAAATTTGTGAGCATATGAATTATTGGTTTTACAAATCATGTAGTTTGGAATATATATATATATACACACACACATAGTATATATATACACACTATATACTATATACACTATATATATACTATATATATTATATATGTATGATACTATATGTTATATACTATATATGTGTATATGGTATATAGTGTATATATAGTACATATATATAGTGTGTATATATACTATATACATAGTAGATTTTGTGTATATATATACACACTATTTCAGTATGTGCCTGGGAAAACAGGAAGACAGGACTTTTGATGTGTTCACCATTAATTTATAATATTAAATATTTAAAGGCAGCTCTTTTTATCCTTATTAGATATTATACAATATACTGAAACATCACATTGTACTCCATAGATATATAAAATTTCTATGCATTTGATAGGGTTCTGGAACTTCTTTCTGCCAAGGAGCACTTGAATATTTATAACATAATTCATAAGTCATATATGATTATCAACTTAAAAATTAACCACCACTAACTTTATTGAATTTCAAGTTATACTTACTGTTGCCTTGGCAAGGCTAAAGCAAATGATCTTACAGGCCTTATATGGTCTGTGCACCAGATAGTCCACATCCTTGTTTACAGAATTGAAAGTTAAATTGATAAACAAGTAGATTAAAAGATTTTTCAGTGCAAAGAGAAATTTGAAATCCACGCATTGATTTTTTTTATGATTGTAAATTTTAAAGATTCCTTGTATGCATGCTTCCAAAAAGTTTTGCACCAAAATAAATCTTTCCATTCCATTTCCATGCACTTTTTGAAGCATTCTCATATGAGTGGAGCAATATCTTAAACTGTTACTCTGATGTGTATTTTATCAAGTTGTCTGTCACCACTTAAATGTACATTGGCATATAGACTTTGGTTCTGTTTGTTAGATCAAAAACTACATTGAGGGAGATCTGACTGAAACTGCAGCCTGATATAATAGAAAAAGATGTATGTCCTTTTTATTGAATTCTCCACACAGCAGCCAGAGTGATCTATTAAAAATAATCTACTCTTGTTGATGCATTGTTCACATCCTCCTGGGGCCTGCCAGTGCAGATAGAATGAAAGCCATACTCCTTATTCCAGTTTGCAAAGTCCTCTGTCCATTGGCATTTGCTTGATTCCGCCTGCCATCTTGTGTTATGCTGGCCTCTCACTTAGCTGCCCGTGTGATCTAGCCTCACATGTTGTCTGTCAGTTCCTTAAACATGCCACATCTGTCTGCCCCATTGCGCCTGTGTATCTGTGTGCATTAGCCTCCCTGCCTGCAATGACCATCACTGGACTAGCTTACAGCGCAGATCTCAGCTTACACAGCTGCTTCTCAGAGATGTTCTGGAACTTGTGCATCAGTTGGCTATTGCTAGTGTTTCATAACGAGCTACTTAACAAGTCAATGACTTAAAGCAGCCAGCCTTTATGCCCCTGAAAAATGGAATTAAAAACAATGCGCATTTCCCAAGAACTTACCGAAGGAAAAAACAAACAAACTCATATATCTCAGTTTCAGATGAGGAATGCCTCCCAGATGAACCAATGAAAATCTTAAATCCTCTTTGGGGCTAAACTGAAAACTTACACAATGTCCCCTACTGCCATTGTGCAAACTGGCTCACATGGTCAATGCGAATGGCAGGGAAGATAGCCTCTCCATGGTGCAGGAGATTTGCTGAAGAATAAGCTAGTCAGCCTTAGTACACCATTGCCCTTATTTCCAGTTATCCAAGTTAAATTATCCAAGCATAATGGAATATTTTCACATGGTTTTCTGTTTATCATGTTTATTGTCTATTTTCTCTTCTTAGAATATGTATTCTATATGAGCAAAGCTGCTATTTATTCCCTATAATTCCACGTTCCCAGCACATAGAATAGTTTCCACTGAGATAAAGTGCTCTGTAAGAAGAAATGTTTGCTGCAGATCTGAGGACAGGATGATGCACCAGGAAAGGCTGCTTACTTTGTTTTTACAAATGCGCAAATGTCTTAATCGTTCTAACCAATGATGCTGCTCCCTGCAACTTGTTCATCTGTTCTTCTGATAATGTAAGAAGCATTAGGTTGACTGACTTCAGTGTTTTTTTGTTTTTCTTACTGATCCTTCTTTGTGAAAAATCTTTTGTGCCAAATAAACCTTAATTCAAAGAGGCCTGAGGGGCTGTGTGTTGGGATTCAAATCTCCAAGTCAATCTCTTCTTTCCAATTTCTAGGGGGAAACTTCACTAAAGGTTTGACCTTGTCTGTGTTGGGCTCTTCTAGGAGCTGACCATGGCAGGAATACAGTGCATGTAGTCTCTTTGGGCACGTGGAAGCAGGCAGTGATAAAAAGAAAGATAACCTGTCATTGGGTTTATTATTAGACCAGCTACTACCAGGGACAGCCAGAACTTAATCCCACCAACATTAAAATTAATTGCATAATAATCTTGGCAAAGGGGCAAGAGATCTGGGCATTTATGCCCTCATGTTGTCGAGCATTAAAGGTTCCTAGGAGATGGGTCAATGTCCAGAGAGGTGGAAGAAATTGCTAGGTAATTTAACTGAGCTGGTAGGGCAGTGTAGGTTTCGGCAGCACAACAGCAGGGTTCTGAAGGTACAGGTGTTAGCTTTTTGAAATTGGTTAGGTACAGGAGAACTTGAAGGAGAGCAAAGAGGATATAAGCTGTTTTGTGAAAAAACTTAATCTTGGAGTGAGCATTTAGTACAGCAGTGAAGATGATGCTTGCGGTGCCCATATTGGAGTGGCTAGGTTAGAGTCCAGTGCTGATTCTGGCTTCCTGCTAATGTACATCCTAGGAGCAGCAAGTGATAGATGGCTCAAGTAAATGGGTTATTACCCACCATGTGGAAGACCTGGGCTGAGGTCTGACCAGTTGTCTGCAGGCATCTGGGGAGTGATCAGGCAGATGGAAGATCACTCTCTTTTGAATAAACAGGTTTACATAATTTTAAAAATCAGTCATATTAAGGGATGACTGACATGTGGTGCCACATAGTTTAAAGGGTGTGAGTCTTAGGTTTAGTGGATACCTGTATCTATCAATCATCACAACAGTGAAAATCATGAACAGTACCCTCCACTCCAACAGATAACTGTTGCCTCTTTGTAATTGAAATCAAAATAGGGATCTTTACAAATAACGACAGAACATGCAGAATAACGCTGCACCGGGGTCAGCATTGTATGTAAAGGGCTAAGCCTCCGTCTGTAACATCAACATCCCATATAGGCATCAGTTCAAGTTCAGGTTCATCCATATCTCTCAACTGCCACTGATCAGCCTTTTGTCACAATAATTAACATTTTCTAGTGCTGCATAAAATGCATGCAGTGCATGGTCTTTCTTTGCTGCTTCCCTTGGCATGATTATTTTGAGATACACACATGAGGTTTCATTGGTCAATAGTTCATTGCTTTTTAGTGCTCAGTAATATTCCAGGTTATGGGTACATCCTGATTTATTTCTCTTGTTACTAGTTGATAGACATCTGCACAGTGCCTTATTTTAGGCTGTCAGGAGTAATGTTGCAATGGACATTTGCTTGCAAGTCTTTGTGTGGACCTACCTTTTCATGTTTCTTGAGGTCCCATTGGTAATCTGGAATTAGCCATAGTGGCAATATTATGACATGGAAATTGGCACACTGTATAAACAGGCATTTTTTCCACAGAGATCTGGTTGTCAAGCATTTATCATCAAACTACTAGATAAACCCTAGAAATCAATTACTGTATCAAAGAATCACATTTTTAAAATCTGTGGCTAGATTATTTTTTTAAAAATAAGACTGTACCAAAAATTATGACTTTGTTTATTAAAAATGTACATATCTTGGTGCTGGCATTCTGACACAGCATATGAAGCAGCTACCTGTGACACTAGCATCCATTTCACGCACTGGTTTGAGTTTCAGCTGTTCAGCTTCTAGCTAGTGTACCTGGGAAAGCACTGGAAGATGGCTCAAGAGCTTGGGCCCCGTCTTCACATGGAAAACCCAGTTGGAGTTCTGAGCTCTTGGCTTCAGAATGGCCAACCCCAACCATGTGACTATTTGGGGAGTGATGCAGCAGATGGAAGATATTCGTATTTCTCTCTCTCTCTCTCACTCACTCGCTCTGTAACACTGCCTTTCAAGTAAATAAAAATTTTAAAGTGTGTATCTTATGTGGTGTTTCCAGACCTTCTCTTTCCTGGGATGATTATGCTACTTTTCCTGACTGTAGGGAAGAGTGTGAGACTCTGTCCCTGAACTATCTATAAAAACACTCTGAGATAGATATACCAAAAGGTAAAGTTTTCATAACAGAAAGGAAGACTTAAAATTAGGCCACAAATGTTAACCTAACCAGCCAAAAGGGATATGGGGAGAAAGGAAACGTAACTTTCCCATTCCTTTGGTGCATAATTTTCTTCCTTCCTTCCTTTAAAGATTGACCGGATCATCAATTGATAAATCACTAGCTATTTATATTTATCTATCTAAAAGAATTGGAGAAAGTGAGGAAAGAAGAAACAGAGAGAGGTCTTCCAACCTCTGGTTAATTTCCCAAACGGATCCAGTAGCCAGAGCTGGAATGGGTCATAGCCTCCAAAAACTCCTGTCAGTCTCCCCTGTGGGTGTAGGGACTCGAGCAGTTGGACCAGTCTCCCCTACCTGTCCAGGAATGTTCCAAGGGGGACTAGATCAGAAGTGGAGCAGCCAGGACTTGAACTGATGCCCATATGGGATGTTGATGTTACAGGCAATGGCTTAGCCTGTTACATACAGTGCCGACTCTGGTGCAAAATTCTGTCATTATTTGTAAAGATCCATATTTTTCTGTAGTGATAATTCAGCAAACACATAAAATGTCTGCCTTTCTTATTTAATCTATTTCACATTTCCACAAATGGGTGTAATCTTCACAATTTTCATTTTAACTGCATTGTAATGTTCTATTATTACCATTCCCCTATTGTAGAGCATTGTGCTGTTTCCGGTTTTTCAGCATATCAAATAGAACATCTCTGGCAAATTCCTTCTTTTGCTTTGCATGCTGTTATTTTCTTGGCTGAACTTCCTTAAAGTTCTTGATTGTTAATTCTTTGTTTACTCTGTTCCTTAAGTGAAATTCTTGCTCCTGCCTTAATTCTTGACAGGGTTATGTGTTACTGCTAGGTAATGACATGGTAGCCTTTCTCCCATGCTGAGTTTATCATGCTTTTAAAAATAGCTTATTGGGGTCAGTGCTGTGGCATGGCACATTAAGCTTCCATCTGCAGTACTGACTACTCCTCTCTCAATCCAGTTTCCTGTTAGTAGCCTGGGAAGTTCGTGGAGGATGGTCCAAGTGCTGGGGCCCCTGTATTTATGTGGGAGACCCAGCAGATGCTCTTGGCTCCTAGCTTCAGCCTGGCTCACCGTTGGCCATTTGAGGAGTGAATCAATGGATAGAAGACTAATGTCTCTCTCATCCTCTCCCTCTGTCTCCTTCTCTCTCTCTCCTTCTCTCTCTCTTACCCCTCTCCCTTTCTTACCCATCTCTACAGCTCTGCCTTTCAGAAAATAAAATAAATCTTTTAAAATAATAGTTTCTTAGTTTGTTTCCCGGCTAGACTGGGCTCCCTGAGGAAGAAGCTGTGTGTTTTCCTCCTTGGTCTCCAGGGCTTATTCTCTAGGTGCTGGGGCTGCATTCGCTGATATCCATCAATCACTTTCTTTCCCTGCTTCACTCTTTAGGTCTTATTTGCCAGTAATTGCCTCAGGAGTTCATACATGGACAATCCTTTGTGTCCTATGCTAAACTTGCTAGCTTTGCTCTAGTTGGATAATTGCTTTCTCTGAACTAAACCCCTTTTTTGGCGTCAGGCCCTGTCTGCTATAATCATGAGTCAAAGGGCAGGGCTAGTCAGTACTGACTTCAGAGGTGACTTAATTATAGGTAATAAAAATTTTAAAGAATTAAATGAGGTAAGCCTGTACAATTATCATTCAGACTCTTCCAGATAGAGGCACTGACTTAAAACAGGGCCCCTTCTGTTAAGACGCCTGGAAACTGACTGTGAGTAGGGTCTAAGGAGCTCCTTGATGAGCTCCATAGGGAGGGAAACTAGTGAGGCACTGAAGGACACAGGGCTGGCTAGAGTGAGAAGCTTGACCGTGCCTCAGCCTCCCCAGCAGGGCCGTGTGCAGCTCTAGAGGTGGCAATGGCCGTAGTCCTTCAGACTTGTCTTATTTCGGAGTAAGGACACTTGGCCCCATATCTGCCTCTTATTGGGCAGCCATAGAATGTAGTCTGCCTTAGTGAAAAAAGAGGAACAGTGGACACAGGCCCTGTTGTAAAAGGAAAATATGGCAGCTTATTTGGTGTCATAATAGAAGGAGAACAGAACGAACTCTACAACTACTCCAGTCAAACACTGACAGCAAAAAATCTGTGTGAATGGAGCCAATGGACATTGGGAGGGTGATATCCTCCTTCGATTGGTGAAAATGGCAGCATTTCAGAACTATCCAAACCACTGAGACAGAACCCTCAGAATATGGACACATTGAGACCCTGGGCTGATATGAGGTGGCGGTTCCTCATCCCTGGGTACTGGGACATTTGGAAAGTCGTGTGAGGTTTCACCCCTTGTCTCTCCCCTTCCCCCAGAAACAATTGGAAAAAATAAGTTCACCCAGTTTCCCCTAAACCTTGATCCCTCCCACCCTGATCAACCATGTAATCATCATAAAAAATAAAAGAATGTAGACTGCATGTTGGGGGTGAGGCAAGTGTTGGCTAGAAAAAACCACCTTTAGCTGGGAGTAAATTTCAGAGAAGGCCTGAGTTCTGAGTCAGCATCTCTCTAGGGTTCTGGGTGAACACCACAGCACCCACCAGTGACAGTACCAGTCTGCTCAGAGTGGAGTACTATGAGGATAGTTTGGCCACTGCCCCACAAGGCCAAGGTCAAAGTGAGCACCTTCCCTGATCTCAATTCTTAATGTTCCCTGAGAGCTCTGATGTTCAAAAGAGGTACTTGCTGAAGTGGCCCAAATTTGTGTGGTCTCAGGATGTTTTTAAAAGGCATATGGTGATCACCACCTCCTTCCCCTCGAGGTGCTTTCCCCCCCCCCCCCCGCCCCCCAACAGCTGCTTCCTCCCTCGGAAACCTCAGCAGGCAGAGGCAGGAAAGTGATATGATCCAACCAGGATGTCTGGCTTCCAAAGTTGAAGATTGTCTCGGGGGCCTCCCAAGATGCCATGAGGTTTGGGATAGGCCTTTGTTATCCAGCACCTTTCCCTCAATAAACTGCCACCCGTGAGATAATTTCAAAGGGAACGGTGGATGTGAATCCAATTACACAAACTTATTTACAAGGATGAATTAGCTCATGTCTGCAAAGCACTTTGAGCAATTTGGATACACTTCCTAAACTGTTTACCTAAGGTATTACCTCACCCTTAAGTCAATTTCCTAGAGCTAGGACAGGCTAAATTCAGCTACCATTACAAAGTAATCTTCCCATGAATTTTTCCAACATCTAAAATGTATTATCATTAATGGTGATACATACAGTTGGCTTGTTGAGACAAGACTATTATTCTCTGTATATTTTTGTGTATTTTCATTTACTATTTTTATTGAAAATGTATTATAAGGCTCTTGTGCAAAAAAATGATACCTTGATAGGACTATATTTAAATAGATACTTTTAGTCTGAAAGAATCACATATATTTTCAACATACGGTAACCAGATGTCTTAATTATGTATGGGTGTGCATGTTTTAGCAAATTTTCTGTTAGAATTCCAGTTCCCTGAATATAAACTATCCTAAATGTCCTCCTGGATATCTGGTTTAAAAAAGAATGTAGAAGCACAACGACTCAAACAGTTTCAGGTATATATAGAATATTCTAGTGACTGTAAAGTCATTATGGTGGTCACTTTAAAAATCTAGTAACAAGGGCCCAGCGTGGTAGCCCAGCGGCTAAAGTCCTCGCCTTGAATGCACCAGAATCCCGTATGGGCACTGGTTCTAATCCCAGCAGCCCCACTTCCCATCCAGCTCCCTGCTTGTGGCCTGGGAAAGCACTCAAGGACGACTAAAAGTCTTGGGACCCTGCACCAGTGTGGGAGACCCAGAAAAGGCTCCTGGCTTCAGAGTGGCTCAGCTCTGGCAGTTGTGACTGCTTAGGGGGTGAATCAGTGGATGGAAGATCCTCCTCCCTGTCTCTCCTCCTGTCTGTATATCTGACTTTCCAATAAAAATAAATCTTTAAAAAAATCTAGTAATGCTGTTTGCCATGGTGCCTCGTGAGGGATCAGCAGTTTCAAGATGAAGCTGAATATCTCCTTCCCAGCCACTGGCTGCCCAAAGCTCATCGAAGTGGACGTTGAGCGTAAACTTCGAACTTTCTATGAGACGCGCATGGCAACTGAAGTAGCTGCCGATGCTCTGGGCGAGGAATATAAGGGCTACGTGGTCCAGATCAGTGGTGGAAATGACAAACAAGGCTTCCCCATGAAACAAGGTGTCTTAACCTATGGCCGGGCTCGCCTGCTACTGAGCAAGGGGCACTCCTGTTACAGACCCAGGAGAACTGGGGAAAGAAAACGCAAATCAGTGCAGGGCTGCATTGTCGATGCCAATTGAGTGTTCTCAACTTGGTTATAGTAAAAAAATGAGAGAAAGATATTCCGGGATTGACTGATACCACGGTGCCTTGTTGCCTTGGACCTAAAAGAGCAAGCAGAATCCGCAAACTTTTCAATCTCTCAAAAGAAGATGACGTGTACAAGTATGTTGTGAGAAAGCCCCTAAACAAAGAAGGTAAGAAACCTGGGACCGAAGCACCCAAGATTCAGTGTCTTGTTACGTCACGAGTCCTCCAGCACAAATGCCGGTGCATTGCTCTGGAGAAACAGCGGGCTAAAAAGAATAAGGAAGAGGCTGCAGAATCTGCGAAACTTCTGACCAAGAGAATGAAGGAGGCCAAAGAAAAACACCAGGAGCAGATCGCCAAGAGACGCAGGCTGTCTTCCCTGAGAGCATCCACTTCTAAGTCAGAGTCTAGTCAAAAATAAGGTTTAAGAATAATTAATAAATAAAATTGGATTTAAAAAACCTAGTAACAAGAAACAATTTTCTGCCACCCTGGCTGTTGCTTGCTGAAGCTTCGGCAAAGACCAAGGCTGGTCCACTCTCCTTTTCACTAATATGTCACCTACCAGAGTCCTTACAATATTTGATCATTAATGAAGGGGCTTGTTGAGAAAGAAGGAAAGATACAGTAGATACACTGTAGCTCTTTTTGCTATCACTGTACAAGGAGGACTGTACTCAAGAACCTCTGGAGCGCTGATGCTTGGATGGATGTTGCTACCCTGAGGACAGGCCAGGGTGACCGTGGAGATCCCCATAGTGTCACAGTTACAGTTGGTGTAGCCACTCTTGATCCTGTTCTATATGAGTCAGATTTCTTAGTTGTAATCAACAGAACCGTTGTTGTCTACGCCAGACATTTATTCCAGAGATGTATTAGAAAGTGCACATAATCTCTACCCTGGCTGGGATCTTGCAGCAGAACTGCCCCCAGAAAAAATAATGCTACCTCCCTTCCTTGGGGGAAGTGGTTTTGATCACATCATTAATTCTGGACACGGTACAGAACTGCTGGACACTGCCACCGAGGCTTCTGGAAACAGGGTTCATCTGCTGCAGTAGACGTCACACCAGAATCCAGAAATGCCTGCTTTTAGGCAGATGGTCAATGAACGACTCAGTGACTGTCATAGTGTGTCTCATTGGTAAATGTTAGGGTCCTGTATCTACACCCTTCTGCCCTCTGCCTTCTTTAGCATACACACTGATCTAGCTCCCCTTCCATCTTGAACTGGTTATTAATGTGAAAGAGAGTCTACAAAGCAAGGAGACCAAATTTCAGAAATTAACACAAAAACCATTTTTTTCTTCTTTATCGCCCCATCAGAGAGATAGTTTTAAACCTTTGAGTGTTTTTTACAAATCATTAAGCTTGCAGTTATTACGTGTTTTCCAAGGAATCTGTGAAACTTTCTTACCCTTAGCAGAAAATTTTGGTGATTATTTATAAAACCTTAGGGGAGAGCTTTCTAAGTATGACACAAAGCCAGAAACCATAAAGAAAAAATATTGATAACCTTTACTAACTCAGAAAATGATCATAAACAAAAGGACAACATTTGCAACTCAATATGACAGAAGACGAATGTCTTGAAAATAACAAGATCTGCTACAAACCATTTTAATACCACAGGAGGAAAACTGATCAGAGGCTATGGATGAGTAATTCATAAGTAGAAAGAGGCAAATGTTCAACAGCCACATGAAAAGATAATCAACCTAACTCTAACTAAAAAATGCACACCAGCCAACAGAAGTTAACTAATTTGGCAGTTCGGCCAATATCAGGTTCTTTTACTGAATATATTCCAGGAGTGGTTGATATATACACTTTCCCTATGACTTTGCTAGTGGCTGGTTTATTATGAGATTAAATGAAAGAACACA